ATAACATATTCAGTTCCACTTGCAGATAGTCACACCTATGGTCCAGAACCATATAAAATTGCAGATGATAGGAACAGATGGCAATTATGCCTTAAATCACAAGGTAAAAATATTAAATTGTTTTGATAAGTTTCACTGAGATTATTATTTCTTTGTTGATAAAAAAGTACCCATTTTTTGAAAAGCAGTCTACTATAATAACATTATTAAAAGATTTATTGACTTGGCCTTCAGAAGTCATGTAATATAATCTAATATTATCGCCCTATTCCAGAATAATATTTCTAATGTACAAAAAGACAATACTGAAAAGTGGGGAAGAATCTTGTAGACTAATCATCGTTTACAGGTGCAATAGATTTATGTCTCTTAGTTTACAATTTTTATTAAAATAAGGAAGAATTCCAATGACTTCTTTATCTTGTGAAACATAAGAAAGTAATACAAGAACTACTGAAAGTGGTTATTATATTCATTTTTTAGTTTAAAATCCAGTGGATATGCTAATATAGTAACAAATATTCTGAACGTGACTTGAAAAGTCTAAGGAAGGATAGATGCTGGACTTTTTCTGAAAATATTTTAAAGAGTTTTAGATTCAGGAAAAAAGAGCTAGAAGGGATTTAAAAATCACTACAATGTCTTAGTTTATTAATAAGGAATTCATCCCTAGACAGCTGAACTTAAGTAGTACTATACATTAACAACAAATAGAGAGTTATGTGTATGAGTAAAAGCTAAGCTCATAAGTCTGTAGCTGTTTAACTGTAGGCAAAGTCAAGTGATGTTATTTAACCTTCGGGAGTTATTCATTTTCTATAGTCTCTGTTTGTGCACCTATAAAATAGGATGATGATATCAAATTCACTCTGCACTAATAATTTATAAATAGTAATACCTGGGATAAAAATCATTGTCAATCAGGAAAAGATATCCGTGAACTTGTCTTATATAATTTTATCTTTCTTCAACAAAAATATAATCAATTATATAATTCAATATCAAATCAGTACTTTTAAAATTATTGTATTAAATGAGCTGAAGAATAAAAATACATTCAATTAATTCTGGGTTTGTAATCTCAGCAACTCAAGGAGCTAGGGAAGAGGATCATAACTTCAAGGTAGCCAGTCTAGGAAAGTTAGTGGACCCTATCTCAGGAATAAAGGAAAAAAAATTATACATACACACACACGTATATATAATACATATACTATAATATTATATAATACATAGTACCAGGGACTAAACCCAGATGTGCTCAACTACTGTAAATTCATATTTGCTATAAATTATACTCTTGGATTTTAAATGTGTAGTGAACATAGGGAAGTATCTGATCATTTTATTTGGAAAAATGGATGATTGACTAATGATGCCCTCATTTAGTGATTTGTACCTGTAACTTTTGTTGAAAGAGGAACTTGAGAGAGAATAAGAATGTAAGAACATTTAATGATACAACTGAAATCCTTCTGGTCATAGCCTGGAATAGAAACTATAGCCCTGAGCAAATATTATCCATTCTCATCATCAACTGGCGAGTCCTTTATCTATGGTTGCTAAGATCATCTGTTATGAGAGGCAAAGCAATTGAAAAAAGTTCACTTGAACTCAAATACATGGAGTAGAACCCTTTGGAAAGGAATCAGTGCCAAAGAAATGTTCCCTGAAGGCATTGAAAATGTTTAGCTCACATAAAAATTTCCATTCATATGTGTTTAATTCCCATAAGGAAATTAACTGTTATACTTGATATTATCCTTGGGAATTGTTTGGGTGCTTTTCAAACTTGTTTTATTTCTCTAAAATGCATTTATTATAAACATAATAATTTTAAGTATTTTGGTAGCTCATTACAAAAGGTGTGTTTTGAGTAGAACCATATATTTGTGTCTCTATTCTTTGCTTTCAACTTTGTAGTGGTTATCTTCATAGAGGTGGGAAAACCTTCACATTTTCTTTTCAGGGTTCATTGTTCATAATTACTTCTATAATTAAATATCAAATCAGTACTTAAAAACTATCTTATAAAATGAGCGGAAGAACAAAAATATACTCAGTTTTGTTGAATATATATTGAGCACACTACCACTCTTTTTTATGTCATAAATACAATAAACTATTTGAAGAGAATAAAACTGGAAGCATTTATAACATCTATAAATGGTAACTTGATTTGTGCTTTCAGAGGTGGGGAAAAATAATTTAATTGATAGAGATAGAGGAGGATGCAATCTGAATATCAATTTCAGGTTATCTAAATGTGATTATTGAAGGGAACTTAAATATGTTCTTCGGCTTCCTTCACATACAGGTATTATTAGGTCAGATAAAAAAAAATAGTAACCAATTATGGTTAAAAGTGTGATTGTAGATGATCACCATAAATATATATATTTTTTTCTTTTTAAGCATCCAGCACTCTTTCTCTCTCCTCTTCAGAGCCATGCTTATTTCTATCCTTCGCTGACACTGCACTAGGCTGCTTTCCCTTCTCAGGGTAAAGTCTAGGGCCAATATGTTTCATAACTAAGTCCTACTATTCACAAAGTAACCCAAGTGTCTTTTCCTTCAATTTAACTCTACTACTCTGCAGTATTCAAATGCATAGAATTTGTTTTGAGAAGTGGTTTCAAATTGATTAAGCTATTTTCTTTCTCTCTTTATGTGGTAATGGTATTAGGTAAAAACAGGATTGTTTCAGTAGTATAATGGTGTGTCTGTAGAAAGCTCTCCACCCACTCCCTCATCCATATACTAAATTGAGAGTTAATCCCACCCCTCCTCCACTGAATTTTACCAGAAAAGGATTGCAACATATTTGATTTGATGAAAGCATATGTATAAACTTTTTCCTTTTAAGAATTAGTTTCCATGGCTGGGGCTTTAGCTCAATGGTAGAGTACCTAACATGTGTGAGACAACTGGGTTCCAACTTCAGCACCACATAAAAATAAATAAATAAACTTATATAGAGAAGGAGGAGAAGGAGGAGGAGGAAGAGGAGGAGAAGAAGGAGGAGGAGGAGGAGGAGGAAAAGAAGGAGGCGGAGGAGGAGGAGGAGGAGGAGGAGGAGGAGGAGGAGGAGGAGGAGGAGGAGGAGGAGGAGAGAATTAGTTTCCAGGCAGGGCATGGTGATGCATGCCTGTAATCCCAGGGACTCAAGAGGATTCTGAGTTCAAAGTCAGCCTCAGTAATGCAGCAAGGCCCTAAGTAACTCAACAAAACTCTTCTCTATATAAAATATTTTAAAGAAATGACTGGGGATGTGGCTCAGTGGTTAAGCACCTCTGGGTTCAATCCCCCAGGTACCACACACACACAAAAAAAAAAAAAAAAAGAAGAAAAAAAAAACACTTTCTAAATTTAGAAAAGAAAAATCACTTTAACACATGTAACACTCTCCTTAACCTTGGGAGTTTCCCCAATTTAAGTTCTTTCTCCAAAGTTTCACTCCTTAGCCTTCTCAAAATGCACACACCCTCAAATATTTGGTTTTTAATACAAAATTTTTGCTGGCTTGTAACAACTTTCCAACTTGCCCAATACATAATTAAAAGGAAAAATGGTGTAAACTTACATCTCTGCTTTCACTGAAGAAAGCACCAAGCAACATTTTTTTAATCATATGAATTCCAAATGCTCAAATGATACATAAAATTTTTGGATATTGATGGAAAAGGTGTCCACTTCAAGAAAAGATAGATAGAGAAGCAGTATTATCTCACTTTTGCCCCTCTGGAAAGCTTGTGGAACTTGGTATATTATTAATAAGCTTCAAGTTTGAGGAACCTGGTGATTCTCTTGCTGGGAAAAAACAAAAACAAAAACAGAGCATTCTGTTCCCCAGCACCAAGACCCAGCAAGCATCTGTGAGGAGAGGTGCTGCAGGCTACCAGCAGATAACCTTTCCAGAGAGCTCAAGAGACCCCGGATTTCTATTCCTTCCTCTCAAAGCAACTGGTTATTTACTTGTATGCATTTTAAATTCATTCAGATCTGAAGTGCAAACTTTGTAAGTGGTGTGTGTGTGTGTGTGTGTGTGTGTGTGTGAGAGAGAGAGAGAGAGAGAGAGAGAGAGAAGAAAAAGAAGAAGAAGTGGGGGCGGGGAGGTGTGTGTGTGTGTGGGGGTGGATGTCTGTGTGTGTGTGTCTGTGTGTGTGTCTGTGTGTTGCTGTTCACCCGCCTGCCTGACAGTGGGTCAAGAGCACTCACGAATTGGGATTTTTTTTTCCTGTGCCCCCTCTCCTTTTCCAGGTCTCAGTGAAAGATTCGGGGTCTGGAATCAAAAGACAGACGTACGCATGCATTGTATATCCATCCTGCAGACTTAAATAACATTCAAGAAATCATCAGAAAAACCTAACTCTCAACGACCAAATTGAGTAAATTTCTATAGAAACTTTAAAAAGGAAAAGAGTATGCTTAAATCATATAGCTTGCAACAAATACTTCATACCTAGTTGTGATATTATGCAATATATGTTCAGAATAGCCACTTTCAACGTGCCAAAAAAAAAAAAAAAGGTTTCAAAAACATCAAATAGCATAAAACGCTGTACCGCAGAGAAGGCAGAAATGCATTTAAAGCACCGATGAAAATGGCGTGCAGTATAATTACCTCAAATTGCTGTTCGCTTGACACCCTGACACTAATTTTATTCAAGCCATTGGGAAATAAATGTTTTAAAAGCACTGCTTTCCGAAAGATACAGCTAGCGGGGGCTGTGAGGTTGTTAAGGAAAGGAAAGGGTAAAGTTTTCAGCACCCAAAAAGAATTAAATAATCCATTTAAAACAAGCGTCTATGTAGATCGACAGCCTTTAATGCCCACATTTTTAACGCTTGCCCTGTACGTGGATTGATTTTTTTTTTTCTTCAGCATTCCCTCACCAGATGGATTTTTGCTACTGCAGATCAGCAGAGGGTGTCAGATCTTTCAGAGTGCACCAGGCTGGAACGAGCAGAGCTTCTTAGCAACTGCCCCCCTCCACCCCCCGCCCCATTCTCGCGCTCTCTTCCTCCCTCAGACAACTAGCTCCCCCTCTCTCCTCCCCCCTCCACGTAATTCCGAAAGAGCAGAAGAAAGAGGAGAACAAGAAAAGAGGAGCGAGTAAGCGAGAGTGGAAGCACACACACACAAAAAAAGCCTGAAGAGGTTCAAAGGGGAGGAAAGGGAAAGGATGGACAACCACAAAACGCAGCGATTGCGGAAATTTTCCAGCGCCATTGGCTGGGCAGCGTGAGTCCTTTGGTCGGGCGTGATTTCAGCACCGGGGGGACTGGACAGCACCTCGGGGGGACTCTTGGGCAACCCGCAACCACAGGAAGAACTCCACCAGCAGCCTCAACAACAGAAGCCGCCGAAAAGCCTGCTTTGTATCAGAGAGGCAAGGTCAGTCCGACGCACAGCCATGCACAGGCAGTGCGCCTGTACTACGCTGCAAACCTGCTTGTTTCTCTAACATGCACTTGCTTCTAATTACTAGCATTGTTCCCTTTCTTATTAGTGAGGACCTCTAGACAAGATCTGTAAGGGTATATTTTTAATTTATATGTATATACTTAACTTCTTTGGGGCTATCTTTAAAGGTTTGAGGTAGAGTAGAATTTTTTTCCTTTTTTCTTTTTCTTTCTTTTTTTGCTTGCCTTGCACTACGTGCCTGAATAGTTTGTGAATATAATTATTGACTGGCGTCTGGGCTATTGCAGTGCGGGGGGGGGTTAGGGAGGAAGGAATCCACCCCCACCCCCCCAAACCCTTTTCTTCTCCTTCCCTGGGTTCGGACATTGGAGCACTAAATGAACTTGAATTGTGTCTGTGGCGAGCAGGATGGTTGCTGTTACTTTGTGATGAGATCGGGGATGAATTGCTCGCTTTAAAAATGCTGCTTTGGATTCTGTTGCTGGAGACATCTCTTTGTTTTGCCGCTGGAAACGTTACAGGGGACGTTTGCAAAGAGAAGATCTGTTCCTGCAATGAGATAGAAGGGGACCTACACGTAGACTGTGAAAAAAAGGGCTTCACAAGTCTGCAGCGTTTCACCGCCCCGACTTCCCAGTTTTACCATTTATTTCTGCATGGCAATTCCCTCACTAGACTTTTCCCTAATGAGTTCGCTAACTTTTATAATGCAGTTAGTTTACATATGGAAAACAATGGCTTGCATGAAATCGTTCCCGGGGCTTTTCTGGGGCTGCAGCTGGTGAAAAGGCTACACATCAACAACAACAAGATCAAGTCTTTTCGAAAGCAGACTTTTTTGGGGCTGGACGATTTGGAATACCTACAGGCTGATTTTAATTTATTACGTGATATAGACCCCGGAGCTTTCCAGGACTTGAACAAGCTGGAGGTACTCATTTTAAATGACAATCTTATCAGTACCCTACCTGCCAATGTATTCCAATATGTGCCCATCACCCACCTCGACCTCCGGGGGAACAGGCTGAAAACGCTGCCCTATGAGGAGGTCTTGGAGCAAATCCCTGGCATTGCTGAGATCCTGCTAGAGGATAACCCTTGGGACTGTACGTGTGATCTGCTGTCCCTGAAAGAATGGCTGGAAAACATTCCCAAAAATGCCCTGATCGGCCGAGTGGTCTGCGAAGCCCCCACCAGACTACAGGGTAAAGACCTCAATGAAACCACCGAACAGGACTTGTGCCCTTTGAAAAATCGAGTGGATTCTAGTCTCCCGGCGCCCCCTGCCCAAGAAGAGACCTTCGTCCCTGGCCCCTTGCCAACTCCTTTCAAGACAAATGGGCAAGAGGATCATATCACCCCAGGGTCTGCTCCAAATGGAGGTACAAAGATCCCAGGCAACTGGCAGATCAAAATCAAACCCACAACAGCGATAGCAACGGGTAGCGCCAGAAACAAACCCCCAGTCAATGGCTTGCCCTGCCCTGGGGGCTGCAGCTGCGACCACATCCCAGGGTCGGGTTTAAAGATGAACTGCAACAACCGGAACGTGAGCAGTTTGGCTGATTTGAAGCCCAAGCTTTCCAACGTGCAGGAGCTTTTTCTGCGAGATAACAAGATACACAGCATCCGAAAATCTCACTTTGTGGATTACAAGAATCTCATTTTGTTGGATCTGGGTAACAATAACATCGCCACCGTGGAGAACAACACTTTCAAGAACCTTTTGGACCTCAGGTGGCTGTATATGGATAGCAACTATCTGGACACGCTGTCCCGGGAGAAATTCGCTGGACTGCAGAATCTAGAGTACCTGAACGTGGAGTACAACGCGATCCAGCTCATTCTCCCCGGCACTTTCAATGCCATGCCCAAACTGAGGATCCTCATTCTCAACAACAACTTGCTGAGGTCCCTCCCCGTGGACGTTTTCGCTGGGGTCTCGCTTTCTAAGCTCAGCCTGCACAACAATTACTTTATGTACCTCCCGGTGGCAGGGGTACTGGACCAGTTAACCTCCATCATTCAGATAGATCTGCATGGAAACCCCTGGGAGTGTTCCTGCACCATTGTGCCTTTCAAACAATGGGCAGAACGCCTGGGTTCCGAAGTGCTGATGAGCGACCTCAAGTGTGAGACGCCTGTGAACTTCTTTAGAAAGGATTTCATGCTCCTCTCTAATGACGAGATCTGCCCCCAGCTGTATGCGAGGATCTCGCCCACGTTAGCTTCGCACAGTAAAAACAGCACTGGGTTGGCGGAGACCGGGACGCACTCCAACTCCTACCTAGACACCAGCAGGGTGTCCATCTCGGTGTTGGTCCCGGGACTGCTGCTGGTGTTTGTCACTTCCGCCTTCACCGTTGTGGGCATGCTCGTGTTTATCCTGAGGAACCGAAAGCGGTCCAAGAGAAGGGATGCCAACTCCTCGGCGTCCGAAATTAATTCCCTACAGACAGTCTGTGACTCTTCCTACTGGCACAATGGGCCTTACAACGCAGATGGGTCCCATAGAGTGTATGACTGTGGCTCTCACTCGCTCTCAGACTAAGTCCTCAACCCTAACAGGGGAGGGGAGCCGGAAAGCGATAAACATCCTCCCCTACCGCCAGCATCCCAGGGGTTAGAGGAGCGCTGACCCAAATCCAGCTTGCCCCAAGCCTTGATGGACACAAGTAAATAAATAACTATAAACTCACTTAACTGAAGGGGTCTGACCTCATAGCAGCTCCCTTCTGGAAACAAAGAGCAGACTGTGCGGAGCTGGGAGAGCGCTCAACTAGCTTGCTCTATGCTCTGAGGTCCTTTTGAGTGAAAGCCCAGCATGGGCTCTGCCAGAAGAATTGACAGTGCTCTTACCCCGGGCAAGGACCTGTGGGGATGGCTGCAGCAGTTCTATACATATATACATATATCCACATCTATATAGAGAGATAGATATCTATTTTTCCCCTGTGGACAGCCCCATGATGGCTCCCTGTTGGCTACGCAGGGATGGGCAGTTGCACGAAGGCATGAATGTATTGTAAATAAGTAACTGACTTCTGACAAACGAAAAGTGCTGCATGGCTCGCATGGAATCCACGCGCTCCAGGGACTCTGCCCGCCCCCCGCCCCTCCTCCCAGCAACTGGAGATGGCATCTCCTTCACAGCACCCATCCTCTTACCTGATAAGTCCCATCATCAAACTTTCTATAAACAAAATACAGTATAATCAGAAAGTGCCATTTCGCCATTATTTGTGATCAGTAGGCAGTTCCAAGAGTATGTTTACTGTGAAAAAAAAAATGTAAAGGTTTTATTTAAGACATTTGCATGGCTAATCATCAGTCCATTTTATGAGTTAGCAATGTATTTTGTTGAGGGAAGTTTTTAGGGGTTGTTTTGGGTTCTTTTATTTTCATGGTAATGTTTTATTTTTTGAGGGGTAATATTTTTCTATACATATCCAATAATGCCTTCCATCTGAATGTAAAATAAGTACCCATGATTTCTATTATAGTACCAGTGTAATTATTTAAGAAAAAAAAAGATTTTGAGGCAGTTAAGCATGACCAATTAATGTCACTCTAGTGCTTAGGCTGCGATCATATGGTAGCAATTCTGTGCTGGTATAAATCTTACTTATAAAGTAGGAAAGAAGAACCAAGGAAGCACGTGAAACTTACTAATTCTATTCGAGGATTTTATAATGGCATATTTTTTCAGTATTAAAGTGAAAATGTTTTCAAATCTGGGTCCTTACATTTTTCCAGCTTATATTTGCAACTGGTAAATTGGATTTGCGGTGGAAGGGAGGGGGAGAGGGAAACGGTTGGGGGTGGATCCCCTTCTTGAGCTACTTTAAGGCTCTTTTCCCTAATCGCCTTAGCCTTTTACCCTTTATGTAGCTCCTCTTTCCCCAGTCCCCACCCCCGCCCCTGCTCAGACTTTAGAGGTTTTCTCCCGTCCACTAAGTAAGGTCTTCCTCCAACACACTTCCTCCCTGCCCCCTTCTCTTAATGCGGCAGTGAATCCCTTTATTAATACGGGAAATCCCTGGCTGCTGCTTTTGTTGGTGCTGCCTACACTGCAGATATATTAAGGATGTTAGGAGAGATTTGATTTAATTGATTCTGCCTAGATCGGTCTCATTAAACGGAGTGGAGATTTCATTGGTCAGCACTCCTCCATGAAAGACAGCCCTAATGACTGGCATTTGAGATGCTGCTGGCATTTTGAATCCAACATCTGCTGAAAACGGTAAAACTAATTAGCGTCCACCCACCCTCCCCGCCCCAGCAACTGCATATTGAAATTTGTTAAAGCACTCATCTTTATGGAAATCAATCATTATCCTAAAGAAGTGTTTCTCTCCCATCATCTGGATTTCTGGTTGTGGCCCAGTAATTAACAAGAAAAGCATTGAAGTATTTGAATTATGTGAACCAATGCAATTCTGGCCTCAGTCACATTCCTCCGGGATTTCTAAGCAAATGTATTTTATGAAGAGCTAGGCTACAAAATGACACATATTGATGGGATTTTCATTCCACCACATATCCACCCTTGAGAAGTATGTTAAAAACAAAACACAACAAAACAAAAAAACCTCTCAGACCACAGACAAAAAAAGGAAAAAAAAAGTATAGAACTCTAAGTCACCTAATGAAAGATGAAAGTCCAGAACCAGTCTTAAGTAGATTTGCCATCTAGAACTCATATTCTAAAGGGAAGTAATTTCCCAGAACAATGCTGTTCTGGACTATGTACTATTTATTTTAACATTTTTAAAATAAAATCTTTATGATAAACCATGACAGTTCCTAAGGCCATTCATCATTTTTTTCTCTTGGTTCTTTTGTTTGTGGACTGCATTTCATATGGTAAAACTGGGATCTACTATCCTCTGACAAATATTATGGGTTGTTTTTTATTTATTTATTTTTATTTTGAAGGTTTTGCTTCTTTTTATGAAAAAAAAAATGAATGGTTTTCTGATAAGAACCAAAGAATTTGTTTGTGATAGAAAAATTGGAGAAGAGAGCCATATATTCTACAACATTATGACCCAAAGAAGGGGGAAAAAAAAGGCAGGTGTAGAAACAATGACTTTGTTGGAAGGTGGCATTTAAAAAAAGATGTCTACTGAGGAAGGGTAGTAATTTTTAAAATTGATGTATGACTAGTATAATTCCAGAAACTAGACCTTTCAGAAGGTTTGCACAGGGGCGACAACTTTTCCTCATCCTGATTAAAAAGGAATTACTAAGTAGAAGCCAAGGTTGAAGGGGTACCATTGTTTTTAAAATAGTAACTTTAATAGTTTTTATATAGTCACTTCACATAATTATTCAGTTTAATCTTCAAGACCACAGGATAATTTAGTATGATACTACTGTTTCTGTTACATAAAAGTGGAATCAAACCCAGGGCTTCATGTATGACAGACAAGTGCTCAACCACTGAACTGCATCACAGCTTTTTCATATTTATCTTGAGACAGAGTCTTGCTAAGTTGCCCAGACTGACCTGGAACTCTTGCCTTAGCCTATTAGAGTCGTGCTCCACCATACCTGGTTGTTTACTATTTTGATATACTATTACTGCCACTTTATATTAGGTGTGAGCTTAATAGATTTATGTTTAATTAAAATGTATACACATATTTAGTTTGCAGGACACATAATCCATATGTTCTTACCATGTCTCTTTCATTTAGGAGTACTTAGCATCTTCTTTTTATTTCATCTTTACATAAAATGTTCATATAATTCTACTTGTCATTTGTATTAGTTGAGATATCTTGTTTGCAGTTAGATCATTCTTTTTTAATTCATCAAAGAGAGGAAGAAATCTGGGTCATGTCTAATGGAAAAAAGAGGAAAGAATAAGATATTTTATTTAGTTCCATTGCTTTAAAGAAAGTAGTATTTTCTGTAACTAAGAATATCCTAGAACCTAACTTGTTGCCATAGAAATTTATTGTTTAACCATTTTATATATTTATCTAAGAGGAAGCTGGAATTGCTGATCTAAAATGCACATAAAGATTTTTTTTTCTTAACAGTATTTGTGTTAGATGTAATTAGAATTTTCAGACATTTTAATAAGTATTAAAATTATATTGGTAAATCCAAAGACAGTCTGTTAATTTAGCTTTTTCAGGTTTCTAATAAATCTTATATTGTATGTACAGAGAAATGGATGAATGTGCAAGGATGAACAGTGAAGAGTGCATTTATAATATGTAATTACATAAAAGGCATATTAATTACATTGGTTACTAATTCACTATTTCTACTAGAAAATTTATAAATATTTTTATTTGTGTTTATTTGAAGAAGATAGAAATATAAACTGTGTTAAGGATTTAATTTTAGCATATATTGTTTTGATTCATTTTCTCTCATTTAAATATCTATAAAATAAGATATGGTATTTAATTTTTGAAAAATGTTCTCTGTATGCTATTACAGAATTAGAGTAAAAACATATTCAAGTTTTTAAAGTTATATTATTTACCTCAATTTAGCCCTGAATAAAAGGAAGAGAGGGGAAATTAAACAGGTTTTATATAATCACCAGGCACTTTCTTTTATCTATAGTGTTGGCAAAATGTTATTTTCAAAACTAACATATAGGGCATATAAGATGTTTCTTTTTGGAGTTAAAACCTGAAGATATACCTTCAAATTTTGATTCCATGAAAAGCATATTATATTGTAATCTGAAACATAAACTGACATTGACTCTGTTGTGACCTATCAAAATGTGATTGAATTTTTTGGGGAAAAAAAAAAAAAAAACACTGGAGAGTTAAGATAATAATGGTTGCTGTGTTGAAGAACTCTAATTTTAAAATGAAATTTTAAAAAGTGGAAAAATCATCTTAGATTTTCTTTAAATCTTTAAAACCCAGTGCAACCCTTTTACCTCAATTGTCTGGCAATTTCAGTTTATTGGCTTGGACCTTAATTATCCAATTGGCTACCTTTCTCCCATTTACTTTCTAAATATATCTTATATTATACTCTTGAAATATAATTACATTTCATACTTGAACTTTGCATAAAGCTTACTGGAGAACTATTTAACAGTTTAAATAATTTTGAATATATCAGATATAAATTTTCAACTGCCAATGTTAACTGGGCACTTGCTACACACACACACACACACACACACAAATATAAGAGTTATATCTTGGTTCTAGGATGCCCACAGATATCAAAAATGAGAAATGCTTAAGTCCCATATGGTAATCTCTACATTACTTTTAATACATGATAAATGTAACTGTTATGTGCATAGTTGTTGTACTCTATTGTGTAGAAATCATAACAAAGAAAAAACTTGTACATTTTCAGTATAGATACACTTTTTATTTTTTAGTGGTGCTGAGGATTGAACCTAGGGCCTTGTGCATACAAGGCAAGCACTCTGTCAACTGAGCTATATCCCTAGCCCTAGATATACTTTTAAAAAATATTTTTTAATCCATGAAGAGTTGAATCCACCAATGAAGAATCTAAGGGTCAATTTTATTGTAGAAAATTTCTTAGGAAAAGAAAATAAGGTAGTGCTAACACCCCAAATTTTATAACCAGAATGATAAGATATAGATGTCACTGTAATCATTGAAGAATAGTATATCATTGGCATTGTTTGAAAAATACCACTAAAACAGTTTGTGTTTATTTTAAGTATTTTAGTCATTTGGAAAAATGCAGTCATCACATTAGTTATAATGCAAAAATTTGAAAATCTTCAAACAATGTTTTAAATGAAAGAGATACTTTACCATACTGGTTTTATTTTCATTTCTTTTTCTGTAAAATGGAAATAATGCTTGCTATTTTAAAACTTCATTAAGGGTTTTCTGACTATTTCAAAAAGAAACAAACTAGTTTTTATCTTAACAAGTGCATTACTAATGATTTTTAATTTCAGTTATTTGAAATATAAAATTTTCATTTAGAAAATTGAATAGAATATTTGTGATATTGTAAGAAGTTTAGCAGTAATTAGTGCTGAGCACTTATGTTTGATTTGTGTAATTTTTATGTGAGCAGATTACAGAAACTTTAATTTATATGCTTTTATAAATTTACTGTAAAGCCAAAAATTCCCTTGCTATTTTTTGTTTAGTAAACTTAATATTTAATTACTTAGTAGTAACATCCAGATGCTCAACTCTAAACATTTAACAAGCACAGAGCAGTAAGCAGAGCAATGTGTTTACTCACTTCTATGTCTTATTCCCTTTGCCTCTAACTTCATTTCTTTTCTTGGCAGAAGAATACAGGAAGGAAACATGCTCAGCTGCAGCATATCGATAAAAAAGTCAATATATAGTGAAAAATGGAAGTGCTTCAAATACAAACAATAAATGGCCACTCTTTAGCATTATCAAAGAAGTAGTCTCTGCCTCCTAGAAAAAAGGGGATAAGTTGAGAATGGCCACTATTAGTATAAACAATAATGGCTCTGTCCAGATTCTGTGACATTTATTGTGCACTTTTCCTTTTTAAACTGATATTCTGGTTAACATTTCCAAGTTTCATATTAAATGAGAAAGGCAGGTACATCATGACAGTAATCAGATTTGAATAATATTGTGTATATGTAAAATTGATTCCTACTTCCAATAAATATTAAGATTACAAAATAGTGAAGGAATTTAACACCATGACATGGCCTACACAGTATACTGGAATCCACACTTTGTTGTTCATTATTTGTATTAAAATAGCGGATTTACATACTTAGTATGATCCTACATGATTAAATTATTACATTTAAAATCTTTTGTTCTGAAAGGTATGTAATATTAGCTACATAGGAATTATGTGCTAATTTCTAATCAGTTAGGTAAATTTTGTAGATAATTGAACTCAATTGTGAATCCAGTTAACATTGCTTCATTAGACTTATTTGGCATTAGTGTGTTTTTATGGTAGCTCATATACTGAAGGTTAGAGTATGGCTTTGCCATGGCTGAGTCAGAAAGAAGTGTTAGTAAACTTCTTAATGTTCCTAAATATTAGATGTAAATTGGTTTAGCCAGTATTCATATTACTCCAAAGGGAGTGAAATTACTCAAGCAAAGGATTTAGGGCTGTTAATCTCTCTGTTTCCTGAATGACTAAACATTTTCTGATGTCTCAAAACATGCTTTAATGAGACAGATAACCCTTAAGGGTTTTCTTGATCATAAAATGTTACCTATTTTATTTTCAACAAATCTTTGGATAATGTTGCTATTCCTTACCATAACTGCCAATTCCACAACAACCAGATTTCATGTTTCTAATGATATTTGGAACTGTTAGACATTAATACATGACAAGTAGGTAATTCCAGGCACCTTGTGGTGTAGTATTATGAGGAATGGGATTTGAAGGCAGAAACTAACAGCTGGAAACAGAAATAATCACTAAGAATTGGATTACATGGAATGTCACATTACTGCTATAACTCAAAATTTAAAATATAAAATTAATAAGAAAGTCATATCAGAGTTTTTTTTTTTAAATATTATCTGCATAAGCATGATAGCCAACCAAATATATTTATGTCTTAAGATTTTTCTAACACAGAGCAATTTTACATGAATAATTACAATTGTGTCTATTATATTTCTTCCTTGTAAATCAATTTTACACTTGATGAATAACTGAATATATAGAGGGAACACCAACTTACTTTCTTTTATAAATGCAGGTTTTGTCTCAATATCTTTAGCTAGTAGGATATAATTCAAGAGAAATTTCAATCCTTATTTATGGTGTCTTTTATACCATGAGTACTAAATATTTTCACTACCATCTTTATAAAAATGTAAGTTTCTCAGAACTAACACAAGTATGACATATATGTTACATCATGGTATTTTACAGAGGCAGCCTAGAATTATTGTCATGAGCATGTTAATTAGCCAAATTCAAGAAAACAAAAATTTAAAAAGGAAACGAAAACAAGAGGGATGAAAGTCAGTTTTACTTTCACTGACTCAACAATATTTCTTGACCAAAATTCTAAAGCCTATATTAGCAGACTAGATGTCTATTCAACTGAACTTACATTCTGCAAGAAGGTTACAAAACATAAAACAAAAAAAATAAATACATCAATGATGTAGAGCTATAAGGAGATAAAAAGAGAAGGAATTAATGATCCTTTTAAATTGTGGTCAGGGAAGATTTTTTCTGAGGACATGATGCTTAAACTGGATGAAACATGATACAAAGGAGACATTGAAGACTTGGAATAAGAGAGATCTGGGAAATAAATCATGAAATGCCAAACGTAATTCATAAGTGAATGTGGGATGTTTGAAGACTACAAAGACCAGAATGACAAGAATCTGAACATAGTCACAACATTGGAGAGGCAGAGAGAAGTCAGATAATGCTTTATAAGCCATAGAAATCATTTAGATTTTATTCAAATACATCGGAATTTTAAGCCAGAAAATGTCATGGTCTAAGTAGTGTGTTTAAATAACAGTTTTGGCTTCCTGAGTAAGAATGAATAGTGAAGGGCAAACATGGAAGGTTCCTATTGGAAGGTTCCTATTGGCTTCTTGGAAAATGGTGGTGCTGATGGAGTCAGACCTGGGGAAGTTGGAGATTGTACTGCGAATGAGGGGACAAAGGAGAGGAAAAACTGTTTTGTGACTGTTTTGGTTTTATTTGACAACTTGATGGTAGTTCCTATTATTGAGAGGAAAAGCTGGAGGAAGCATGTTTTAGACAATAGAGTTGACTTTATAATATTACAATTGGTATGTCAATTCACATATTCTGGGTAGTTTGCTGAATGTGGCAATATAAAGCTCAGGGGGAGTTAAGGGAATAAAATAAATATATGGAATTCAACATTACTCTTATTGATGGCTATTGATATCTGAATTTTATACATTTAAAACTAAGACTTTGCTTACACTTAACTGATGTATGTTACTTTTCCAGCAGATTTATTGAAAGCTGAATGTAAACTTGATATTTGACACAAGTGATATAGAAAAGATATGAAACATAATATATATAATAATTGTAATTAAATTCCCCCCAGTCAGAATACTAATAGAATTATGGTAAAATATGCTTTCATGAAAATCAACTGAAATAGATAAATGGTGTAGAAAAGGTTAAAAATAACATGAAACATAAAGATACAATGAATACTTAAATTGAATTGCTTAAACTATTTTAATAAACATATTTCTACATGAGAATGAAGCAGCTAATCTTATCCATTAAAACCAACAAAAAGCTTTGACGTTTTGCACAAAAGGTAAGATTTCTGGAAAAGGAAGTTTGACTTTAGTAATCAACCAGAAGATAAGAACAAAGATCAGATCATATTTATTTGGTAGTGGTAAAGACTGGCTTCTATTTCTGCAGGTTGTATTTTACTTTTGTTTGTATGAAATTCCATGGTCTGATTATTTCTGAAAAACCATACACTATTCTGTATTTAGCCCAAACTAAGTGGGCAGCACAATTGTCAAAAGTCCCATTTTCTTTATAGAACCATTTTGAGAGAGAGAGAGAGAGAGAATCTTTTTTTTTTTTTTTTGTAGAGGGACATAGCACAATGTCTTTTATTTTATTTTTTTATGTGGTGCTGAGAACCCGGTCCCGCCCATGCTAAGCAAGCGCTCTACTGCTGAGCCACAATCCCAGCCCCTAGAGCCATCTTTTTCTACATACACCATTCAACTAGCACTGTCTTTGATTTCTAGCAAACTAAGTATAATTGAAATTAATCCTCTAAATAAACTGGGACTACTTTTTATCTTATTTTAGTACCACTGTAATTCTAATATTAGTTCTAGACTATATGCAGGGATAAATTCCCCTCTTCTTAAGGCTCTCAGTGGCTTCTGTGATTTCCGTGTGAATAGGATGTCTTGTTTAAAAACTTTTCTCACTTTGAAAAAGGAAGTCAAAGTCAGCATGGGAGTGCCGTTAGGTTTCTTACACTACACCCTTCTGGTGCTACAGAGTTCAAAGCCCTTGGATCACTTGTGAGGACCACTAAAATGAACCTGGGGTCAGAGGGCCTTACTCTGCATTAGGTTCTCCTCTAAGCTGTTTTGTGATCTTAGGCAAAGCTCTTATCTCTTGATTCACATCTAAAATGAAATTGTTGGGTGAGAGTGAAGTTGTTACAAAACTTTCTCTGTCAAGGGCCAGAATAGAATCATTTTAGGATTTGTGGGCTAAGATGAAAAATCCAGGATATTACATAGCTGTTATGTACTTTTGTGTATTATGTAGATATGTGAGAAAAAGACGACAAATTTCCCAACATTTTTAACAAAATTCAAAATGATTTAATGGCACACATTTGCATTTCATATAATTCTCAAGTGGTACAATATATTATTATTAATTTCTGCAACTTTTTAGCCATTTAACCTATAAAATGCATTCATAGCTTACAAACAGCATAAAATCAGGCAGTAAAACTGATCTTGCCTGTGAGAGATAGTCTACAATGCTCTGCACTGGATCACTCTCAGATATCTTACCAAAACAGAAATTGACTTTATAGTTATATATTAATTATAATGCATTCAAAATATTTTTCATCATGAAGACAATATGAAATTTTCAAATTAATACTTTTTTTTTTTTTTGGTACTGGGGATTGAACTCAGGTGCACTCAACAACTGAGCCATGTCCCCAGCCCTTTTTATATTTTATTTAGAGACAGAATTTTGCTAAGTTACTTAGAGCCTCACTGAATTGCTGAGGCTGACTTAGAACTTTTGATCCTCCTGCCTTAGCCTCCAGATCTGCTGGGATTACAGGCATGTGCCACCATGCCCAGTTAATTAAGTAGTATGTTTTTGTAAGTGTCCTTACGAGTTTATAGATTTTTAAAAAGTTAATTGGCACAAATGAATTATGACAGAGTAT